GCATGGGCGTGGCCCCATAGATGATGTAGGCCTGAATGCGACCAGGGTGGTCAGCGATGCGAACCGGAAGTTCAACCATCCATCTTGCATGTCCTGAGGCGTCGCCGCTAAATCTGAAGGACGTGTCGCAGCGCTTGAAGATCAGGTTGTCCATAGGGGTACTCAGCAGGCTCAATGGACATGACCATGTTGATCATGGGATCCTCGAGATCGATCAGCCGTTTCTGAGGATTGGCCAGCTGAAGGGCAATTTGCTGCGAAGTGCCCGTGCTTTCCGCAGCGAAGACAGGTCAGTGCAGCTTTGGCTCGATTCTTTCCAATTGGGCCTTTTGAGAAGCCCTTGGATGAAGTGCCCTTGCCTTGCTCACCGGCAAAGATGAAGATTTTCTTCCAGGTGAGCGGTGCTACTACTGGCGGGACTTTCCGGACAAGGCTCACACCATCCGCTGGCGCGGACCAGCAGTTGTTGTTGTTGTTGTTGTTGCTGCAGTTGAGCGCAACCCCGACACTGGCACCATCTCTGTGTACTGGATTGCGCACGGAACAGTTCTTCTTCGTGCTGGAGTTCAGCATGCCCCCAAGATGGTGAGTGACAGTGGTCAACTTGGTGCAGCTCAACGTGCTCAACAAACCCTAGATGGCTTGAGACAAAGGAGAACCGTGCGAATCATCGATTTGCGCAAAGCCAACAAGCGCTCCATCGACGAAGTCGACCCTGAGATATCAGACTACGCTCCTTCCATAGCTGAGGAACCACCTGCCCCAGTGACTATGTGTTCTTCTGGACTACCTGATGGTGTTCAACGAGCCTTTGACCGCCCCATGCAAGAAGCTATTCAGTCACGAGCAGCTGAACGCTCATCGGTTCCACCTGCTCCAGATCCTCCAGAAGATCCTGCAACAGAGCCACTGGAACAGCTGACATCAATGTCTTCCTCATCAGTCCTGGCTTTCTTGCGAGTCCATATGGTCTCCTGTTGGTCGAATCGTCGCCGACGATCTTGGAAACTTTCTGCTGACGGTGGTGCATAAAGAGGATCAACTGCCATGGGTGCGGGCATTGAAGATAGCCATGGGCCGTGAGGAAGGATCAGCCTTGGGAGAGTCCAGATCGTGGTCCTCTGAAACTGGTAGATCAGCCGGGTCCGGAAGGCTTGTCGGAGGTTCGACATCCACACGTGGTGTCTCCATGTGCGCCGCGCCGGTTCTCCCATGGGCTCTTCAAATTCATCGTCATCCAATTCTGGTAGTTCAGGGTGTCGTTCATGAGGTCGTCGCTCTTCTAACTAACCTTCATGGCTTTGACCTGACCAGGTCAACGCCACTCCCTGCTGGCTGGACCTATGATGAGAAGAACAACGAGTTCATCCTCAGGGAAACGCAAGACTGGTGGAGCTATGAGGACGGTTTCCTTGTACGCAACCATGTTTGGGGAAAAAACACCACCTACAAGCCTGAAGAGTTCCCCATTGACGCCTCCTTTCTACAAACAACCACCGGTCTGACATTGCAACAAGGTTCAAGAACCATCCATGTCAACGCCAAGGAGCAGCAGCACTTCCATGAGCATTGGGCCGGCAAAACTCTGTATTGACCTCCGAAGGTGCGGAGAAGACTGGACTTCTTTACATCGGGGACCTCACGGACAAGCTCTCAAGCTGCAAGACTCTCCGTGGCCATGGACACATCTGGCAGGCCGTTGGGGCTGGCAGTCCCAAGAAGAAGCACGTCAAGGAAAGCGCTGACCTTGGAAGATCGCCTTGCCTTCCTTGAAGGAAAGAAGGCTGAGCTCATGAGCATCTTCGAGAATGGTGTCTGGGAGATCGAGCTCGATCCACAGTCAGTGGATCACAGAAAGGGCGGCCTCAAGGCCAAGGCGCGACTAGTGCTCCAGAAATTCTCAGATCGGATGTTGCTACCGCGTTTCTCCAAGGTGATCCTCAAGAACGAGTCTTGTGGGCGCGCGTCCCAAAAACGCTTGTGAACTCATTGGAGTGCCACCTGGCACCCTTGTGAGGTTGATCAAGCCCCCTGTACGGACAAGCAGACGCTCCAAGACAATGGTTTGCTGTCGCCCGACGCCGCTTGCTGCAACTTGGTTTCCAAGCCCATCCATTGGACCAATGTCTCTATATGTTCTTCGATGAGAACAGGGTCCTCACAGCAATGGTTGGAATCCACGTTGATGATCTCTTTGGTTGTGGCATGGCTACTTCATCCACCTACCACAAGCTGACCGAGAAGCTCAAGGCCTCCTTCAACTTCAAGCATTGGACAGTTGAGGGCGAACGCCCACTGCGGATGTCAACTCACCCGCGCAGCCACTGAGTCCGTGATGACACAGGCCGACTACCTCAAGAATGTCAAGCCGCCAAGCCAATGACCTGTGCGGACGATGATGCTGACAGAGAGTTGAGCTCCAAAGAACAAAGTTTGCTAAGGGCACTACTTGGTGCACTTCAATGGCCAGCAACACAAACGTCGCCCCACCAATGCGCTTCAGTGTCGCTCTTGCGCGGAGAAGTCACCACCCCCACGGTCAATGTAGCCCAGCAGGCGAACAAGACCTTGCACTTCGCCAAGAACAATAGCGATGCCGGTCTGGTGCTTCGCTCCTTGGGTGGCGCCTATGTATGGTGGCCATGAGCCAAGGTGGCTCCTGGTGCTTCTATGTCACAAGTCAGTGCTGGAGGACAACGCCCTCGACCACGACTATGTCATCCTGGATTGGAGGAGTTTCAATCTCTCAAGGGTCAGAAGATCATCCTTGAATGCTGAGAGCCAGGCATGCTCAGCTGCAATGGACGCCCTAGAGTACCTCCTCATCTTCTGGGAAGGTTGCCTCAACTTCGACTTCCAGCTGCGCCAGGTCAATGAGCTGAAGCTTTCACTGCCTTCGGCCTTGGTGGCGGACGCAAAAGCCCTCTATGACAGCCTCAAGGCTGAAACACCAAGTCTCCAAGGAGACAAAAGAACAAAGATTGAGGTCATGGTGACCAAGCAAAAGATGCTGTGCATGGGCACCAAGCTACGATGGGTCAGC